CTGGAGACCTGTGTCTGATCCCTGAAACACACACAGAAGTGGAAGAAGACAGCCTTCACAGAATTGTCTCTGACCTCCACATGTGTCTGCAGCACATACATCCACACACACACATAGCATGCACATGTACATACACAATAAATCATTTAAAAAAATAGAAAATGAACAGTCTACAGGACCCATGTGGCATTATGGAAGCCCCTGAAGTAGAGGCAAACAGGAGAAAAAGGAATATTTGAAGAAATAATGACCAAAAAGCGTCCCACACTGGACTAAGAACTCAGCACTCAGAAGGCAGAGGCAGGCAGATCTCTGAGTTCAGACCAGCCTGGTCTACGAAGCAAGTTCCAGGACAGCCTGAGCAAGGTTACACAGAGAAACTCCATCTTGAAAAAAACTAAACAAACAAGCCTATGGGTACTATTTTTAACTAAGTGTGTCTGTGCGTGGGCAGGTGCCCGCAGAGTTCAGATGAGGGCATCAGATTCCCTGGAGCTGAAGTTACTGACAGCTGTGAGCAGCCATGTGGGTCCTCTGCAAAAGCAGCAGGTACTCTGACCAGCAGACGTCTCTCCACCCGCTGTAAACACTCTGTCCGTCCCACTGTAGCTTCCCTCTGTTGTAGTTATTGTGTGCAGGAAGGCGAATGCCATGGTAGGTATGTGTGGGCCAGAGGATAACTTTAGAGAGTCACTTCTTCCACCCTGCAGGTCTGGGGGGTCACACTCAGCTTGTCAGACTTGGCAGCACCCCCTTTTACCTGCTGAGCCCCCTCGCCAGCCCCCTTCCTAGCTTTAATACGCATTTTCCCCATATTCGGCAGGTTGGATGTTCTCAGATGTTTCCAGCAGAGCGTGTCCTTCCTTCTTTCACAAAACGATGGTTTTTGTTTTATGTGGATGGGTGTTTTGTGGTCAGCATGTGGGTACACCATATGTGTGCGGTGCTGGTGGGGTCCAGAGGGGGGCAGCATCTGATCCCCTGGATCTGGAGTTACAGACTCTTGTCAGCAGCCCCGTGGACAGTGGGGATTGAACCCAGGGCCTTTGGAAGAGCAGTCAGTGCTCTTAACTACTGAGCCATCTCTCCAGCCTGCCTTGCATCCTTTCTTAAAGCCATTTTCTTCACTTATTTGAAGTTATTCTATCCAAAAATGAAAGTGTCTCAAACATTAAAAATAAAGACATAGCAACTATAAACATTTGCAAAACAACAGAGCCCCAGGACGTATGAGACAAAAACTAGACAGAGCTGTAATGATAATTGGAAACTTCCATAGGCCACTTCATTAATGGATGGAGGAACTAAACAGGAGAGCAGTAAACGGGGCTGGGAGATGGATCAGCAGTTAAGAAAATGCACTTCGCCGGGCGTTGGTGGCGCACGCCTTTAATCCCAGCACTCGGGAGGCGGAGGCAGGAGGATCTCTGTGAGTTCGAGGCCAGCCTGGGCTACCAAGTGAGCTCCAGGAAAGGCGCAAAGCTACACAGAGAAACCCTGTCTCGAAAAACCAAAAAAAAAAAAAAGAAAAAAAAAAAAAGAAAATGCACTTCTTAAACAGCATAGCCTAACTACATTCTAAGCATTTCTCCTTATACCCACAGATAAGCAGAGGTCTCACCCCTCATTAAAGAACATCCAGCAGCAGATGGGGACCATTATAGAAAACCCACACTTGATCAAAATGCAGAGAACATGTGACCCTGTGGTGCCCAGTGAGGGCATCAGATTCCCTGGGGCTGAATAAACCTGAAGCATCTACAACACAACTCCTGTTCCTAAGGCTCCAGGATGATTGTGGAAAAGGTGCACGTGGTGGTCTGAATGAAAATGTCTCCCATAGGCTCACAGGGGCGGCATTCTTGGAGGAATGCTGTCATTGGGGACGATGAGCTTTGAGGTTTCAGAAGCTCAAAGCCAGACCCGGTGGCTTTCTCTCTCTGCCTGCTGCCTGCAGATCCAGATGTAGAACCCTGGGCTCCTTCTCCAGCACCATCTCTGCCTGTGTTCTGCAATGCTGCCCGCCATGACAGTAATGGACTAAACCTCTGAACCTGTAAGCCAGCCCCAATTAAATGTTTCCCTTTATAAGAGCTGGTGCGGTCATGGTGTCTCTTCACAGCAACAGAAACCCTAAGTCAGAGCAGAAAGGTTGTAAGGGCCAGAGCAGGAAGTTTGCTGTGTGGCCGCATCTCCTAGAAATGTCAGAGAAGCGATACCTGTCAAGCCTCACCAACATGACTGCCTAAATACCAGAAAAAGATCGCGCCGATAGACACACTGACATGGAATGGAAAAATCTTACGGGGCCTCAACCCTAAATAATGAACTACAGGCAAATAAGTCTTCCCAGGTAATGGGAGAATGTGCAACCTGAGGGCGACCTTATAGCCTGAGTCTTGCTCAGTCCTCACTCCCCAGGGGGAGGGGCCTACAGTTTCTCTCTCCCCCTCATCTGTCTCCATCCCTCCCTCTCTCTCCATCCCTCCTTTTCTCCTCTCCATCCTTTCCTTTCTCTCTCTCCATCTCTCCTTCCCCATCCCACTGACCCCTGGCCTTGTTTCAGGACAAGGATGGACAAGAATGAGATTGGAAGCCGGGCAGTGGTGGCGCACGCCTTTAATCCCAGCACTCGGGAGGCAGAGCCAGGCGGATCTCTGTGAGTTCGAGGCCAGCCTGGGCTACCAAGTGAGT